TTTGTGTTGCAGGGGTCTTCTTCAGATGATGGGATATATTCACTTTCCAGGTCAGGAATGGATTCTGACTGAGAGTCATCTGTGGCACAGTCCTCCTAGGAATACATTAGAGAGGGCTGGATAAAAATTAAATGTTTTCTGAGAGAAAACACATCCCTTGGCCCTGATTCACAGGACTCCTTCGAATATCCGAGCTGGAAAATGACGCTGTGCCTGCCACAGCTCCCTACACTGTTTATCTAGGACTGAGTGCTGTTGAATAAAAAAAAAGATCTTAGAAAGAAAAGAAAACATGCTGGAAAACCAACCTTTATTTCAAAGTAGTATTCCATCATTATGTTTACCTCTGTAGTGCAACAGGATGGTGATTCCAGGGATTGTTTCGTTTTCAAGTGATGCCTTCTGTTGTATGAGATGATGTACGTCACTAAGTGAACACTTATCTAGATCACAAACTGTAAATGTTTATCTTATTACTCTTGAAACACTTTTTTAATAAAAAAAAATGGAGTTAGATAGAATTGTTCTATTTTCATTATTGCTGAGTTTTATGTTTTTGTTACATATTTTAGAGCACTTTATTTTAAAGGATAATATGCTAAATTTAGATGACCAAAGTGAAGAAATCCAGTCCAGTGATAACTTTCAGTGTAAAGTATGTGTGGTGAACAAATACATTGACTGGTGTGATCAGCATGTTTCGATGTTTTCTAAGTATCTGTGTGTGTTGTATGCTACAAACTACCTAAATGACTCTAAAAAAATATGACATTTCCATGCATGTGATTTGTAAACAGTCAGGAACAAAACTCATTAAATTATCAGACTGTAAACACTGCTGCCCTTTCATCCTAAAGAATGATTTATCCTAGCATTTTTCTTGTATGGACCACCCAAAAGGTCCACACAAGAAGAAATGTCCACACAAGAAAGGTGTTCTGTCAGGGGTTAGTTCGCACAAGTATATAAAGACAAAACCCACACACACACAAATTAACATTGAAGCAGTTTCATTAAAATAAAAAGTCAACAGCATGTGGCAGCATTTTATTCACTGTAATAGAGTTAAATGCGAATTAGCTTCTAGGTAAATAAATGACTGAACAATTACCTTGACATGAAATATTCTTTACTGTACATCAGGATACAAATACTTCTGACAACAGTCCCAGTACCATCTTGTGAAGTAATGCAGCGCCCTCTGTCGGACAATCAGCAGTAACTATGTAAAATACTTCAGAAGAGGAATAAATGTGGTTCAGCCACACACACAAAGCACAAACACAACCAGCTCTGGAAAAACAATTATTTCAGAAAAACAAACATTTACATTGTGAAATAAAACTCTTCATTGTTTATTTATGGGCCAATTATCTTACATGTAATTAATCTAACCATGTATCCAGGAACCTTCTCAAGTCTGACTGCAGTGTTTAAACAGATAAAGCCTTCTTCTTGCAGAGCCATGTGTATTTTTCACTACAGTTCACTGCTTTCCATACGTTTGTCTTGTCAGAAGTCACACAGAGACCGTTGGTAGGAGGTTGTTGTATCCGAGAGCTGAGGGAAGAGGCTGATGGTTAGATCAAGGCTGAGAGATTTTATGATTCACAGTGTTTAGGATTGTGTCTCTCACCTTTGAGTCAGATTACTTCCATCGACCCACTTCCATGTCCCTTCTTCAGCTCTCAGGCCGATCCAGAATCTAATGGCTGCAGATGGAACCCATATTTTACCATCGATGAGGCCCTGAGAACAGCACAGACACAGTTGTCAGTGACATGTCAACACTATAAACACACTGTGATCTACAGACTCAGTGTGTTCAGACTGACAGAAAATGCTTTTTCATTTCATATAGGCTGTTATATAAATCACATTTTCTTCATTACCTTCTCAGTGTCATTATCTATAACAGCCAAATCTGAAATCTTTCTTCTGCAGTCTTCTCGAGCTTCTTCCCAGGGTTTCTGATAAGGGGGTGGAGGGTCATTAAATGTGTAACAGCTGGACTGGAAGAAGTTCCAGCCGCGCTGACAAGCCTGGCACACATTTTTCTGACTTTACTCTCTGTATGTGGACATCTTCTGAAACTTAGACTCCTTTCATCCTAAAGAATGATTTATCCTAGCATTTTTCTTGTATGGACCACCCAAAAGGTCCACACAAGAAGAAATGTCCACACAAGAAAGGTGTTCTGTCAGGGGTTAGTTCGCACAAGTATATAAAGACAAACCAACACACACACATCCTCCTGGCTAACTGCCACCTGCCTCCTGCTCTCTCTCTCTTTCCCCAGCACAGGAAGCCTGGCAGACAGGCGAGGCTCTGGTAAGACAGCCAGAGCATGGGTCAGCAGGCCCATTCTGAACTAAAGTTAAGTCCATATACTAGCTAACTCTGACCTACAGCAACAATGACCAGGGTCATGGGTCAGATTCATGTTGGTATTGTTCACTGAAGCTGGGTGCCTAAAGACGACATGGCTGATTTGAGGTACTTTTGTTGTAGAAGGACCCAGAAAGACTTCCACATGCATCTAACAAACCCTGCCATATCTGCTTGACCCCCTGTAACTCGCACTTTGTTGGTTTGCAACTGTCTAAATGAGCATGAGAATGTTAAAGGTAAGCAGACTGCCAATTTTCCTTCTAGGAAAACAGTTGTACAATAGAGTATAATGGAGCCAAGTTTTGTGATGGAGAGCTTTGTCCTGTGCTAGACCTTAAGAAAATCTGAACTTGCATTACTTGAAATTGTGACACAAATCTAAATGATACACATCTAAGTCTGTCAGTTGTATTAGTAAATGAGATATGAAAACAGGTCACCCCAAAACAATAAAAATTTTGCATTAGCTACCACACGCTACTGTAACTGTCTGATGCACCAGGGAAGGTCAGCAACAGCAGTCTTAGTCTCTGTCCTAGGAGGAACAGAGGTGAGGTGAGCATGGATTCTGCAATCTTTCAGATATTTTCAGGCTGGGGGCTCTGATGTACTCACATTGGTACCTTCTCGCTGTTGTGCAGGTGAAAGGTGGCAACCCAGCACCCGGCAGGTGGAAACCTTTGCCAGTGGTGCACTGGCTCAAAGAGCGGACACCATACACTCACACCCAGGTGAGAAGGAAGCCCACTGCTGGCGAGTTAGAGAGGTGAGTAGCTCGAAGCAGCTGGAGAGGGCTTCTTCTCCTCAGGTGGTTGTGAAATGACAGTGCCCAGGAGGCTGAATCAGTGAGACCAGGGGCATCCTAATAACACAGTGGGGGAAGCAGGTAGGTGATATCAAAATGTGCATGTGGGGAACCCACGTGAGAGAAACTCCTAGCCTAGCAGCAGGAGATACAGATATACAGTATATAATCAAACAAAAAGTATGCACAAGCACCTACAAAATAAGAGTAAGGAAGGAACAGATAGATGATAATACATGAATATTAACAAAGTAAAATGTACATTGAACTTATGTATAATATATTATATACAGGTATATTGTCAGAGGAGCTCCCTCTCCTGACAACAAGGAGTCATTTGTCACAGTGAAGTGGATAAAGTCTGAACAGGCTCTGCTGTTTGACCAGTAGGTTGTGGAGGGGACACAAGGTGTTCTCCATGATGGTCAACAGCTTGTGCAGCATCCTCCTGTCCACAGCCAACTCCAAAGGCTCCAGAGACATCCACAGCACAGAGCCAGCCTTCCTGATCTGTTTGTTTGGTTTGCTGGTGTCACTGGCTCTGATGCTGCTGGCCAGCAGACAACAGCAAAGAATATGGGACTGGCCACAACAGACTTGAAAAAGCAAAGATTTGCAACAGGTGTCCACAGAGTGCCTCTCTCAATAGACCTTAAACGTGCTTGTGGTGTCATGATCCTGCCCCACTTCCGGTCCTGCTTTTATTCTGACACCATTTCCTATCTCCAGCCCACCCTAACTCCCAGTAACTTCATCTCATCATGCACATTGGTTTCACCTGTCCAGTAATCGCTCTCACCTGCTCATCACAGTATATAGCAGGGTGGGGAGCTGCCAGATTGTTCTATGTCCTGTCTAGACTCTTCAGCTTTATTTTCTTGTGACTGCTATCCTGGTACCGAACCCCTGCCTGCTCCACCGACCCATGATCCAGCCTCCTCCCTCTTGCCTGACTGCTATACTGATATTGACACCCTGCCTGTTCTACCAGCCTACGATTCTGCCTTGCCTTCATTGCTGCCCTGCCGGACATTTCAACCTCAGATTGAACTAAGTACTGCTCTCAGCCTGATCCTGCAAGACTGCATCTGTTTCTGTCTATCTTACAGAAAGGCATTAAAACCTATCCTACTGCCTCAGCTTACTGGCTCTTTAATTGGGTTCACACCGCCACGGGAGCTTCACACGCCTGCCCCTGACAGTACAATCTGGCCAAAAATGAACCCAGCCAGTAGCGATCTACGGGAGTGGCAGGGATGGAGAGCACACGCACCGCTCACAAGGCAGTGCTGTGAACCGTGCAAACCACCGTCCACGGTCTGGCTCAAGATGAACAGATTCGGGGCACCACCGCCATGGTTCAGGTCCTGCTTCCAGTCACCCCTCCAAGCTGCCATGAACCCAAGATCCCGCCTCTAGAGCGGTATGGAGGAGAAAGTGGGGACAGCTGTTCTTTTCTGACTCAGTGTGAGATACAATTTGAATCCCAGCCCTCGGCTTTCCTCACCAAGTGATCGAAAGTGGCTTACACACTCTCATTGCTGATGGGTCGAGCACATTGGTGGGGCACCGCCAAATGGGCTAACTACGTTTCAAAGATTTGGGGCGGAATTAATGAGGTTCTTCAATCCACCCAGCCACACTACAGCCACTTCTCCCTCTCTACGCACCTTGATTCAAGGGAACCGAACGGCAGTGGTCTATATAATAGACTTCCGCACCGTGGCTGCCAATTCAGACTGGAATGAGCCTGTGCTAATCGATGCTTTCTATGGAGGATTACCAGACAGACTGAAGGACGTGCTCACAGCCTACGACCGGCCCAGACACCTGCAAGTGCTAATGGATTTAGTAACCAGAATAGACGGCCGGTTCAGAGAGAGACAATTGGAACAGAGACAACACCACACGCCCCCCTAGGACTTTGCTTGAACGCTGACCGAGCCCCCTGAACCCATGCAACTGGGCCACTTCTGACTGAACCCAGAGGAGAGAGAATGCAGATTTAGGCTGAACCTATGCCTATACTGTGGGGAACCCGGCCATTGGGCGTTGCTCTGTCCAGCAAAAGGCAGAGGCTCAGCAGGACAGGGAGAATGTTGCTGAGCCAAGAAACAGTGATAACACCTGCCTCCCATCCAATGATAAAGGCCCAGCTTTCCTATGGCACCAAGACCATCTCTGTCTCTGTCTTCATCGACTCTGGTTCCGACACCAGCTTCATCGACCCAGCGTTCCTTTATCAGCACCAGATCCCCAGCAAACCCATGAGTAACCCACTCTTGATACATTCTCTGAACAACAAGCTCCTGCAATGTGTCAACTAGCCACATGCCTCTGCTGACCCTTTCTATTGACAATCACAGGGAAATGACTTTCTGGTGATGCAGTCCCCACATCCTGTAGTTTTGGGCTTCCCTTGGCTAGTGAGACACGGAGCCAAGATCGTGTGGTCCACTGGAAAGATAGTCGAGTGGTCACCGCACTGTGCCACCCAATGTCTGCAGTCGGCTACCATCCAGGAGGCAGAGGCAGAGCCGGAGCCAGAGACATTCCCCGACATATCCAAGGTTCCACCGGAGTACTTGGACCTCAAGCAGGTCTTCAACAAGGCTCAAGCTACTATGCTGCCCCCCTATCGACAATATGATTGTCCCATTGAACTGCAGCCTAGGACCACCCCCCGTAGGGGCCGGTTATTCTCCCTCTCCCATCCTGAACACAAGGCCATGACAACATACATCACAGAAGGCCGGGTTGATTCGGCCTCCCTCATCTCCTGCAGGAGCGGGCTTCTTCTTTGTTGGCAAAAAAGATGGAGGACCAACCCCATGTATTGATTATCGTGGCCTCAATAGGATCACCATCAAGAACTGTTACCCGCTGCCGCTCCTATCCTCCACCTTTGAACTACTACATGGAGCCCAGATTTTCACTAAGTTGGAGAAATTCCTATCACCTGGTACGTATGAGGGAGGGGGATGAGTGGAAAACTGCCTTCAACACACTGTCAGGCCATTTCGAGTATCTAGTCATGCCCTTTGGACTCACCAATGCCCCTGCGGTGTTCCAGAACCTGGTCAATGTTGTGTTGGGGGATATGCTGAACAAATTTGTCTTTGTCTATCTAGACAATATTCTCATATTTTCCCCGTCTGAGACCAAACACAGGACGCATGTTCAAGCCGTGTTGCAACGCCTCCTTCAAAACAACCTGTTCGTGAAAGCAGAAAAGAGCTGCCTCCACGTCCGCCCACAAAAACCTGGAATACCTGCACACGGCAAAGAGGCTCAACCCCAGACAAGCAAGGTGGGCACTGTTTTTTGACCGTTTTGACTTCTCCCTTTCGTTTTGCCCCAGGCACAAGAATGGCAAAGCGGACGTACTGTCCAGACAACACAACAGAGAGGAGGAAGAAGACCCGGAACCCGCCTATATTCTGCCACAAACTGCTTGCCTTGGGGCTGTGCAACTTGGCATCGAGCAGGAGGTATTGGCCGCCCAGACGAATGACCCCAGCCCGTCCATATGCCCCCCAGGTCAGTTGTTCGTACCCGCACCCATCAGACCCCAAGTACTCCATTGGTGCCACACATCTCAGTTCTCTTGCCACCCAGGAGTGGCCCGGACCTGCTATGTCGTCCAGCGGCAGTTCTGGTGGCCAACAATATGCGATGCCAGTTATTTACTGACTTCTATTTCTTTTCTCACTGCAGTCTCCCACTCTGTCTCCCTGGTCATAGGTGGTGAAAACCTGGCTTGGCTTCACAGTGCTCTGTGAGGTGCTAGATGTCTGGATATTCTCAACAGACAGATGAAAAAAGATCATTCAGCAAAAAAGGCAGGCTATTTCTTCTGTTCTTTTTTCGTCTTTCTCTGGCACACTCCCATGTACAGGCATGGCCACACAGCATGTGTGGGTTTCATGTAATTGAAACTAGTGCCAAGAGCTCAGAGTTGTACTCTCCTCACTTCCTGCTAACAGCTCATTTCTGCATGCATTTTCCCAACTACAAATGACTGCCAAAGTGTTGTTGCACCCAGAGGATCCCCTTCCTAATTGTTATAGCATAAATATCTGTCCAGATAGTCATTTTTGTGGATCCAGAATATTTTACAGCTTTTCTAGATTATGACCAGGACTAACAGAAAATAGAGCAAAGCCTGA